CGATTATATTCACCCATTTTAAAGCTTAAATAATTCGTTTCTTTTTTAGAAAATTTCTCAAATATTTCTGGATCGATGCTATAAAATTTTCGTGGTCAAAGGTCGAGGAGTGGATCGTGTGCAAGACTGATCTACATATGGAGTAACAGGGCTTAAGTCCTGAGCCTTGAAGTGTCAGCGGACCAAAAAAATTGAATTATTATCATAAATTTTTAATACTTTTTCATTAATAATGAGCGCTTATCGTATAGTAAAAAACAGTTAATATTAAATAATATAATAATAATAGTAACGATAATTTATAGTATTATTTATGTAAACAAAAAATGGGGCCCCATTAGACTTTAATAAGCCCCAGGCTCCGAGAAACCTTGATCCTCCCCTGGTCGTGTGTCGTATCTCTCGTAAACGTAGACTTAATAAAGATTTTAATCGTTATCAGCATTTACAATATTTTACACAACTCATCCCTACTTTCAAAATTGAGCTTTTTGCCATTTTGTTATAGTTAATAATATAACTTTTAAATAAAATACCATGATAGATGGGGCTACACAAAGCTTTAAATTTATTTGCCGAGAAAGTTACGCAACAGGTTACTGGATTTCTTAAAGTGCTCTAAGTTCTCACGAACATCATCCTTAAAGGCAAACGCATTAGTATAACGTATATATTATGGGTATATCGAAGCCGTACATCCCAATATGTCAAATGACTTCTTAGTGGACAGGGGAGAGAAAGGCATGAAAACAATCTCGTTACTGTCTAATATATGATGAAGCACTTTAAAATGAATAGTTCGGGATTCTGAAAGCTGCACTCTGTACATATTTTGTGACGAAAGAAAACCTCTATACCGTTTTGACAGACGTATGGCTGATGTGGTTAAGGAATTAGCCTATTTTTCTGGTTATCTGAAATCGAATCAGGATGAGCAATCCCGAATAATTTATGTTTAGTTTGGCTCGAATATCGGCCTCATTATTCTATCATCGTCGGACTACCCGAACCAACATGGACATAGAAAAAAGCCTACAGACGGAGTTCAAAATTAAAAGAAAAACTTGGTTTAATCTGGGTTGAGCGTAATTAATTTAATTGTTTTGATAATTTAAACTCGTTTAGGTTAATTAATGATAGAAAATAATTTCAGGAATTTATATAACTTTTTTTGTTTTATTCTAATAAAGGTTTCATTTTTTTTAATTGCTGTCTTTATTCAATCAAACGAAAATAAAGAAAAATTACAGATTCAAACCAGGGCTTGCGAAATTTTCAGGAAAATGGACGTCGTCTATGTCTTTCAATTACACAAATAACAAACGTATGAATTCGATAGTATATGCAAGGAAATACTACTCTTTAATTTGTAATAATTTAAGTTAAACTTTAAATCTTTTTAAAGAAGTACAATTATTAAAAGTACAATTTATCTGTTGTTTTAAAATAACGTTATTGCTAAGTTATTTACAATTAAAGTTTCTCACCCTTTCTGTTTGACGTTTCTTCGCAAATGAAAGCTAAATAATTACTTTCCAGTATTGCAGCCCGTGAATTATAACTGCACTCGCTGGTTGGGTGAAATTAAAACACGTGGCTCTTATCCTAACACGTGAGTCTTTCTTAATTATGAGTCATTAACAAGGTAGCTGTGTGAATAGTACGAATATAAATATCGGATCTGTTTGGTGAAAAATCATTCTCATTCAGTTACAACCTGATTTAGATCATCTCTGACAATGAAGACCTTTCTTCTTGCTCTTTGCTTGGTATTGATTGGTAAGTTTGAATTAATATTTTAGATGGTTTTGTGTATTTCAGTGGGGAACTGTGTGTACGTTATTCAATGAAAATTCATTTTTATTTAAAATATTTTCTTTAATTAATGTTTGTTTTATTTAGAAATTCAAAATTATGAACTGTTTAAAATACTATCGAACCCCTATAACACTGTTGATAATTCCGTTTTATATGAATTCCGAGTTGTACGAGTCACTTAGATTTTACAAATACTTGAGCCGTTAACAGCCAGGCAGACGTATTTATAAAATCTAAGTGACTCGTACAACATGGAATTCATATAAAACGGAATTATCAACAGTGTTATAGGGGAATTGACTGTACATTTAACCTATTAAGTCTGGACATATAAAAACACGATATTTAATATGTATGGCATATGTTTCTTAATATCGAATATTATCTTCCATAATCTTTTGATTGATAAGATAAATGTGTTTTACAAATTTCCCTAATTTTAATTCGAATACGTAAATATATTTTGAAAATTTTATTAATTCAAGAATCTTCAGAGTGAATGACATAGTTATAATTTAAATGTAATTATTACATTTTATAATTTCTTTATTAATATATCTTATTATTAAATGTATACAATTTATAAAAAAATAACTACCAGATTAATAAGTAAATCAGTAGTTTCCTATTGTTTTATCTGTATGAGTTTTCCAGTATGTGATGAACTTGATGCTGCCTTCAATTTTTAGGTTGGTCTTGTTTGTAACTCTTAGAGCTCATAGAGAATAAGAGAGTTACAAGCAATGTTTAGAATAGTGTTTACTTCTCCCATACCGGAAAGATCTCAACTATACCAGGCAAATATACACAGTGGCATATTACGTACAGCATGAATTTTTTTGTAGCAAAATGATCCATTCTGCAAGAACTAAGAGGGCCGTTTTTGAAACCCATCGTGAGCTCAAACCCAAAATTTCTATCGAAACCGTGATATAATTTAATTTTCAACAATATCGATGTTTTTTGGATGTAAATTAATGAATATACGAACTGATTTCTCGCTATATTTAATGCAAATTACTTTCTACGTAGGTGTGGTTTATGCCAAAGACGGTTATCTGGTTAGCAAGACGGATGGATGTAAATTGAGTTGCTCACCGAAGTTTGGAGACAGATATTGCAGCATTGAATGCAAATCTATGAACCACAGAGGTGTTGAAGGCTACTGTTACTGGCTGGCTTGTTATTGCAAAGGAATGCCAGAAAATGCGGAAGTTTACCCTCTTCCCAACAAATCCTGTGGGAAATAAAATCACTCTCTACTCGCTCTCTGCAATTACAATGACTGTAATTTCATTTAACTTTGAGACGTCGAAATAAACTTTCGAAGCATTAACTTGACGATTTGTGTATTGTTTCGTTTTATGTTTTTATGTTAATCCTCAATAGTTTACGTGAAACATAGTTTAATACGTTATTTGAAATGTTGAAAAGAACATCACGCTGTATTGTTTTTACTGTGCATTTGCATTACGAAATTTAGTGGACAGTTGGTGAAAACGTGAAAATTGAATATAATAATTAAAAATTATATCTAGAGCAGATGAAAATTCAGTTGTTTATGATTGATAATCTTTCAAACTAATAGGAAAATAAGTCGTACTTTAATGTACAATACATTACGGTAGGAAACGATGAATTTGTTGATGCCATAGCTCGACGTCTGTTAAAAAAATAGAATAATTTATTTATTTCTTTCAAATAAATATGTTCCTAGAAAATATTTAAAAACTTGGTTTCTATAATCCGAAGTAAATTTATTTTCCATTTCAAAGAAAATACAACGTTTTTCACAATTGTAAAGCCACAGGAATTATGTTGATCGTTGTTTATATTATACAATGCATGGCGCTGACAAAGCAAGAGTAAATTCAAATTTCAAATTGTAATCATTATATTCGAGACTTAACAATGACCGAGTGGATAAAATCACTGAACAATAGTCGTTTTTGCGGGTTCGCAGCTATCCACGTGCAGATTTCCATACTTTTTTTCTCATGTTCACATTTAAATAAATGCCAGTTTTTCACAGAAGTCATGTTAATCTTGTGTAGGAGTTAGATGCGTAAAGACAGACTGGCAAAAATCAACGTGGCCAGCACGTAGTGACGTGCAAACAACTACGAAACATTACTTGTGTTATCCACCCGACACTGAACAGAAAAGATTAAAGTTTACTTGAACTAAATTAGAGTGTATATAATTTTAGTTATTCTAAAGAGGATGAAATTACACGCTCCGAGATACCTGTATACATGTAATAAGTAACTGATTGTATATATATAATTAATATTAAAACATTGTCTAGGATAGGCTTGATTAGCTTAGAGTGAGATAGGATTAATTCTCACGTGTCTAAAGTATCATTAATTTACCAGCTCATTTTTATCTATTCATATAAAATTGTGATGGAAATCAACATATATATCTTTATTGCACGGCGATTCATATTTCAATTTAACCCTACCTTTTTATGGTAAATGAATTAAAGAATATAATTAACCGTTCGTTACAACTACGGTAAATTTATGAGACAAATGAGACGACTTATTTATAAATTTCACTTCCTTTTCACAGACTCATTTTACACATAATTGAAATTGTTTACTTGGAAAGAAAACAATGCGTGTTTCGATCAACATTTGCACGAATTATTTTCACTAAGAAACAATCAAAATGGAGTTCGATCACGCGTTATTTCATACTGTGCGGCGTAAATAATTCATAGCAATAGACTGGAGATGTAAATTCATATTCCTATCGAAATTCCCAACGTTTTTCTCGTTTTAAGATTTAAATTGATAGTTTATGTTTATAAGGCAACAACTGGGCTATGTGCAACAGGGTTTTCAATAGCAATGCCCTTTGCCCTTTCGCTATATAAAAATTTATAAAAGTACAATTATTGCAAAAGTTGCAGTTTAGTTTGGGGTTCCTGCCTAATGTGTGCTCCAGGAGCGCCAAATTTCTAAATACCCTACTGATTAAGACTGATTCATAAGGAACACAAGTTGCTTCCTAATTTCTAAATGTGTTACTGCCCAAGAAGATCTCTCAGGAACACTAGAGAAACGTTTAAAAAGCACAAGTAATTTTATTTCAAATTTAAATAAATTTCACAATTTAATGCTAAGATTTCACTAAGAAATTCCAACAATGGTCACATTTCAATAATGAATTGTAGTTTATTATTGTGTTAACGATAAAAGAAGACGATTGTCATCGCTGTAATTGCTTATGGTAATTCTGTCATATCCGCATGAAAACATCTGATGGGTCGAAAATCATTATGGAAATCTTTGTTTTCCAAAAATAAATCGTAAGTTTTAAGTTGTGTTACTGTTCAGATATTACGGTGTTATCACTTCAGTTGTAAAATATGAATTAAAATTATACACGTAGAGTAGATGACAGAAGTACTGAGCCCAGTTCCACTGCTTCAAATTCGGAATCGCAAATAATTGAGGAACAAACTGGAAGCAATGAAGAACATCAGTCTAGAGTGGAAAGTAATAACGATGACAAAACTGCCGAAAAAGAAAGGTCAATTTCCGTAAATTATCCCGTAGAAGGTAAGAAAAAAATTCAAAAAGTGTTAGAAGTTCCAGCAGAAACGTTTATACTACGCAAAATAGAAAAATCTGAAGCTACATTGAATACTCAAATTGTCACTGTAAATACAATAACTGTTTTGGAACCCGAGATTATATCTTTAGAAAAAACAGAAATTAATGAAGAAGAAAAGAAACGTAGAGCTGCCGAAGAATTAAAGAAGAAATTAAAGTTAGGGCTGTTTGGTGGCGATAGCGCAGCCATTGCATTGCTGTATGACAGTGCCACAGGTAGAAACAAATGTAGCATGACACCTGATGTAAATGTAAATGACGCAAAAATAACAGAACAGCATAAAGACATTTGCTGTGCTGCAAAAGAACAATGTATGATGTCCACGTCGTCTCGTATTGACAACATGATGTCACCTCGAGACAAGACGAGACAAGATTAAACCAAACAAAATATATGAACCATTTATTTCAACACAGGTAATTAAACAATATGTAAATTTTTATATTCTTTCTTCTTGTGGTTCTGTCGTTTAGTGGATAGGAATGGTAGTCAGTCACGGGTTCGTTTCTTGATAACGGGATGGCTACATGTCTAACACCGAAATGGTGTACGATTTCTCATAGAAAATCCTCCCTGGAAAAATAGTTTGATTTGGTTTGATAAAATACGGCAACGCAATACATGTGCGATCTGCCAAGGTGGATGGCTCCCTGGAGGATCGCATTTGCGTTGCGTTGCCTTAACCTATAAATCTTTCTATACTGCGTGAAGGCCACCAAATCCTATTTATTATGGAATCAGCCAGATTCAAAGTGGTGCAGACGGGTTGTGAGAATGCAAATATCTAAGATCGACACCGAGCGCCGGGTTTACATAGACTAATAGGGCTTAAGCCCTGGGCCCCGTAGTTTCGAGCGACCAAAAAATTGAATTATTATCATAAATTGTAAATACTGTTTTTCGTTAACAATAAGCCCATATCGTATAGTAAAATAGTTGTTAATATTAATAATATAATAGTAACGATAATTTATAGTATTATTTGTATTAACAAAAAATAAGGCTTCGTCAAACTTCAATAAGCTCTAGGGCCCGATAAACTTAGTTCCATCCCTGCCGACACCTCTTTAAAATATTCAGGGGTTTTCTCATAGCCTGCATTCGTTCCTAGGTCTTTCATGGCTGATTTTTATCCGTTCGGTCGTTCGTTGTACAATATTAAGTCTAATGTATAAAATAACATTAACGTGACATTTCTAATTTTTAAATTTAATTAATTTAAACCACATTAATCATAATTTGAACACGTCTAAGTGAAAATCTTTAATTTTGAATACAGTGCAAAGATTCTGTTAAAAGTCATAAGCCGAAGTCTTCTCTACGTGTTTACAACTCAGAAAAAAGATATGCACTATGAGGGAACCACAAAACGATAATTATACAGGAAAGAATAAGGAAGAAAGTAAAGAAAAATTCAAAGAAAATCAGTTAATTAATTCAAAAAATATAGAAAAATTTACTTGTTTCGATTACGTATAAATAATCATAAAAACTGTTAACATATTGCAATGTTTGAAATAGTAAAACACTTGCGATTAAGTTCCTCTAACGAATATACGTGAATACATTTCATTGTTGATTAAAATTGTTATTAATTTTTAAACCTTTACCACAAGTTTTCAAATTAATTAAAATTTTAACTTTAAATTTCTAAGTTTACATTTTTAATAAATATAATTGTTTTGCAATTGCTTATTCATCAGTCCAACACATTAAAATTATACATTCGATTATATTTTATCACTAATATAGATAAGCGATCAAGGTGGGCAGCCTACCGCTCTTAGGAACCCGGGTTCGAATCCGAACAGGTTGAAAAAAATCCTCAGCAATTTTTCGGGGATTGGTCCGTTCGGATTTGTCGAGCCCCGTCCCTCGCCATCTGGCAGCCCCATTGTGGGCCTGGCCGAACCCACAATGGGCTTGAAAAAAGAGGCTCTCTTAGTGCCCACAGGGCGGAAAGAATTATTAAGAAAAAAACCACTGTAGAGAGGCTTGACCCTTGATAAGATTTACTAGCATCAATGAGTATTCCTGTAGGGTCGAACTTAATGACGATTTTACTCATTATTAGCAATTACAATATTTTATAAAACCCATTTGTACGCTCAAATTTAAGCACTTTTCCGCTTTATAATAATAATATGAAAAGGTTTTTAATAAAATATTATAAGAGATGTTTCCACCGCAATTACAAATATTTTTCCCGCAACGAATTGCTGGAGTTTATAATATGATTTTTTTAAAAATGACATTTGAGGTTATACTAGTTTAATTTATATTGTACGAAAACAATACTAAATATTATTACTATACATAGTACATAATTTTTAAAATATTAATGTAAATTTTAATAAACTTTGACTTTTTCCACTGTTTAAGAGGACCCTTTTTCAAGCCCGTCATGGGATCAACAAGGGCTCCCCAGAAAAACAAGCTGGCTCTTTTAAAATCTTGTTTAGAAAATTAAATATATACCAAATTTATTATCAAAAAGCTTGATTTAATTCTTTACCTGAAGCACAGCTGAAAATTTTACAAAAATTTTTATTACGATATAATTTATTAAAATTTAATCAGAATAAAGAAACGTAATATATAAAACATGTAGTAATAGAACTAACGAGTAATTATTACGTATCATAAGTGATTAATTTTCGTAATAAATATATTACATTACGACAATGAGACTTTGGTGTTTCGATATCATATTTATTTGTAAACCTATGTATCAATTTTTCTCATTTATATCTCAGACATAATGGCTTCGTAGTCGTAAGATTGTCGGTATCAGTTTTGAATATCTACACGATATTTCGTTAATTATGAATTATGTTTTCTAAGTAGCTAGCATCCTGTTCAGTACAGTAATTACAGTAATAAGTTTATAGATGTGTGACCTCTTGTTCCTGGTGGCCACAAATCAAATTTTTATAAGATCAAACAGGCTATTGTCCTTTTTGCCTGGATAAATCGCCATTGAGCACGCATTAATTCCAGTTGCGTTCTCTAACCAACCACTCGAGAAAAAAGTATACACTAAAAATAGCTATACAAACACCTAAAACAGAAATATCCTAATGTAACCGCCAACGTAACAACATCTGGACGACCAAATCAGATAAAATATACGAAATAGCGTCACCGTCATTCATTTAAACCCTCACGACCAATATCCAAGGAGCCAAAATTTCAATCACAATCAATTTAACGAGGGAATTCTTCACCCAAACAATATTAATAAAAGGAGTCCCAACAGAACCAGGGGGGAAAAAATATTCGAACTGTTACAGAAAGCTGGCCTTTTCCCCATACGTATTCAACGTTACTGAAGAACACAGAACGGACAGAGCGTACCAACAGGAAGAATCAACATTATCTTAGCAGCAGAACGATTTACCCCAATCCGACTATACTTGACATCTATCGAACAGGAAAATATGACAAACGCCCGAGAATATGCCGTCGGTGCGAACGACTGGGTCACACCAAACATCTGTGCAACTTGGGGATTATTTCAAACGTTAAGATCAGTTTGTTATCTAATGTTAAATCGTATTCACGATAAAATTCACCACACACAATCTTTAAACCACAATTAATCAAGTGTGACTTTAACTTCTTTGACTCAAATTAAGTCTACTTAAGAATATTCCTACTGTCACATACGAGATTTAAAGTCGAATTCGAGGTAAACTGTCATATCCGGTGTGTTCAACAGATCCAGTTATCATTATTCAGACCGAGATTTAGGTCATAGATCGGGTATATTATGGGTTATATGGCACCACTGAATGTCGCTCGAAAAGTTAAGCAACTCATTTCTGGATATTTTGTAATGGCGAAGAATTATTTTTACGCAAGGAAACGGCATGTGATGTAATCTTGTGATATAGATTATCTAAAAATCCAATTTAGGATGTCGGGCGAACAAGGCGTATCTTACCACTCTAAAAAAGCCAGGATCGAATCGACCGAGCATCTTAAGAAATTTTTCTTGGGCAGTTTGTTTAGGATATATTGAACCTTTCCACTAAATCACGGTCATAGTGGTTCTGGCAGAGCCTACGACGGATACAGAAAAAATAAGACTTTCGTTGTGTCCAGAGTAGAAAGAGCCAGTTGAAAAATTATATGAAACTAATCAATAATGATGCAACTTTGTCTATTGAATTAATTAATTCCTATCGCAAATTAGCCTGAAGTCACAATTCTAAGTCTATCCAGGCCGTCACCATTTTTTTTTCCGAGTTTTCCATCTGTTAGGATCGACGAGCGGTCGGAAAACGATCCATCACTAATGTAAAGATTGAAGACTCCAAAGAAAACAATAATGAAATGAGAACATTGCGGCATTATTTCTGATGTGATTTTTTATTTCTTTGATATCAAAGCCGTATTTATCGAATAGAACTTCCATACGAACTCTTCAGTTCCGGTCATATGGAGGTTTTGGCCTCCGAAATTCCTGTCTTAATGCGACGACCTATTCGGCAAACGAAGAGCTCTGGAACTTTATTACGATTGCTGATTAACTATTCAATTCAACTATTCAATCAACATGCCACAGATTGCTTCAATATGTAATTCAGGCACTCTGAATAACTATGCCGCAGTAAAGCGGAACGCCTAAAACCACGTTTTAACTAGAAAACCAGTAAAGTAGTTGCTGAATCCTATCCATAATTATGATTTAATTAAAAGAATAACTATAAAAGCCCGTCATGGGATCAACAAGGGCTCCCCAGAAAAACAAGCTGGCTCTTTTAAAATCTTGTTTAGAAAATTAAATATATACCAAATTTATTATCAAAAAGCTTGATTTAATTCTTTACCTGAAGCACAGCTGAAAATTTTACAAAAATTTTTATTACGATATAATTTATTAAAATTTAATCAGAATAAAGAAACGTAATATATAAAACATGTAGTAATAGAACTAACGAGTAATTATTACGTATCATAAGTGATTAATTTTCGTAATAAATATATTACATTACGACAATGAGACTTTGGTGTTTCGATATCATATTTATTTGTAAACCTATGTATCAATTTTTCTCATTTATATCTCAGACATAATGGCTTCGTAGTCGTAAGATTGTCGGTATCAGTTTTGAATATCTACACGATATTTCGTTAATTATGAATTATGTTTTCTAAGTAGCTAGCATCCTGTTCAGTACAGTAATTACAGTAATAAGTTTATAGATGTGTGACCTCTTGTTCCTGGTGGCCACAAATCAAATTTTTATAAGATCAAACAGGCTATTGTCCTTTTTGCCTGGATAAATCGCCATTGAGCACGCATTAATTCCAGTTGCGTTCTCTAACCAACCACTCGAGAAAAAAGTATACACTAAAAATAGCTATACAAACACCTAAAACAGAAATATCCTAATGTAACCGCCAACGTAACAACATCTGGACGACCAAATCAGATAAAATATACGAAATAGCGTCACCGTCATTCATTTAAACCCTCACGACCAATATCCAAGGAGCCAAAATTTCAATCACAATCAATTTAACGAGGGAATTCTTCACCCAAACAATATTAATAAAAGGAGTCCCAACAGAACCAGGGGGGAAAAATATTCGAACTGTTACAGAAAGCTGGCCTTTTCCCCATACGTATTCAACGTTACTGAAGAACACAGAACGGACAGAGCGTACCAACAGGAAGAATCAACATTATCTTAGCAGCAGAACGATTTACCCCAATCCGACTATACTTGACATCTATCGAACAGGAAAATATGACAAACGCCCGAGAATATGCCGTCGGTGCGAACGACTGGGTCACACCAAACATCTGTGCAACTTGGGGATTATTTCAAACGTTAAGATCAGTTTGTTATCTAATGTTAAATCGTATTCACGATAAAATTCACCACACACAATCTTTAAACCACAATTAATCAAGTGTGACTTTAACTTCTTTGACTCAAATTAAGTCTACTTAAGAATATTCCTACTGTCACATACGAGATTTAAAGTCGAATTCGAGGTAAACTGTCATATCCGGTGTGTTCAACAGATCCAGTTATCATTATTCAGACCGAGATTTAGGTCATAGATCGGGTATATTATGGGTTATATGGCACCACTGAATGTCGCTCGAAAAGTTAAGCAACTCATTTCTGGATATTTTGTAATGGCGAAGAATTATTTTTACGCAAGGAAACGGCATGTGATGTAATCTTGTGATATAGATTATCTAAAAATCCAATTTAGGATGTCGGGCGAACAAGGCGTATCTTACCACTCTAAAAAAGCCAGGATCGAATCGACCGAGCATCTTAAGAAATTTTTCTTGGGCAGTTTGTTTAGGATATATTGAACCTTTCCACTAAATCACGGTCATAGTGGTTCTGGCAGAGCCTACGACGGATACAGAAAAAATAAGACTTTCGTTGTGTCCAGAGTAGAAAGAGCCAGTTGAAAAATTATATGAAACTAATCAATAATGATGCAACTTTGTCTATTGAATTAATNACCGTATACGAATTTCCGAGCTAAACCGGATGTCACGTTATTTCAAACTTTCGTCGATAATGGAGTTAAGGCATTGTCACTCGATCACCGGAAGCAGTATGGTACAGAGCGGGGACACTGCTAAAATCGTCACCAGATATGGAAAGACTAATTTATAAAATATGATTAAAATTGCAACCCGTTAAATGGACCTCGTCACAATAACTGTATCCGTTCATAGATTTCGTAATTTCATTTTAATTGCTATTGTTTGTTGAAATTATTTATTGCGAATTAACTGTGTTAATTATTTAAGAATTGTTGAAAAAGAAAGCAGATATGACTCGTAAATCATTCTTGAATTCTTTATTTTCTAGAAGTAAAACGTGAGTAATCTAAATGACTTTCACTACTATACAGTTTATAAATTTGAAATTATTTATGCAGAAAAACTGTCGCCAACTCTGAAAGAGTTTCCTTTCCTTTTGCTAACGACTCAGAATCACAAGTACTTAATAGCGAGAGAGAAACACATCGAGAACAGTCAATAATGGAAGCGAAATTGAATCGAAATGATAAACCAATTTCATTAAACTACGCTGCCATGGATCAAAAACAGATTAAAAATGTGGGAGAAGCTTCAGGAGAGATGTTTTTCGTACGCAAAGAGGAAACAGCAAATGACAATTTTCAGCAGGGACCATTCGTTAATATTAATGAAATCCATGTACAGATAAAAGAAAATTGTACGAATCTTTCTGATTCTGTACAGAAATCTGATTCAGCATTTATTGAAACAGAAAATAACTGTAGAAATCTGGAAGTATGTAGTCATTTTGACAGATCAGAAGTATTCGCTGAAGAGACTAAATTGTTAAACGAAAGAGATGAAACATTTAGTTTATTTCAGGTAAACATTCATTATAATAAAATATGAGGGATTCTATTAACGTTAAATGATAAATTCACTAAAATATTTTCATTTTGAATGTAGTCTAACGGTCATCCGACAGATTCTACTTCAAGATCTTCTATCTACATTTACAATCCAAGCAACAAGACGTGCTCTCTGGCAAAATCTACAAATGAAGTTGGTGTAAATAAAAAAGAATGTAAAAGAAAAGAAAAATTTTATGCAAATGAATTAATAAATACAAGAATTACAGACGATTTATCGTCTTTTAATGAAGCATAGCAGAGATATGAATCATGAAAAATTAAACTTGTTCAATTTTTTTTATATGAACAGAAAAATTCATTTTATCACAAATTAAAGTTTTATTTATTAATTTTGAAAATGTTTGAATACTTGTAACACGATTATAATACAGTTTTATATTAAATATGGATTCTCCAAAGCTTCCTTAACATCCACAGTGAAAGAACTTTTTGATTCATCAAGTTCATTGATAAAATTTTGAATGTCACGCAAATGGTCCGCATAGAATATTGCAGCTTTTATCCAAGTGCCTCATATTATGTCTATGGGAAAGGATGGCAAAGGAGTATCTGGCAAACGCTCACGATGCATAGCAGTTCGCATTAGTGTCTTTGGCAAGCGAAAGTTTGAAAAGTAGTTTCTTGCCGGAACAAATGAGGAGTTTCACATCTTTAAATTGTAAACGAACTTGTCTGGTCAGAGGATGTAAAGCGTGATTCAGGCAGGTTACGTGAATAAGATTATATAAAAAGTTTTCGTCATACTTACAGACTACACAGCATTCTGTAACATGGCATAACTATAATTATACAACACCATTAAACCTTCCTCAACAAATCTTGCTACCGCCTGTACACTCGTCTTCTCCAGAAATTTACATAAAATATGATAAAATTTAGCTCAGTCTTTTTCGTCAAGTTTTCGTACTACCATTAAAGAAACATATCGTCCGCATACGTCTATAGTTTCATCTATAGCAAACCATGTAGCATTGTCACTAATTTTTTTGAGGATTTCTTCAAGTACTTCCTGAAGAACACGTGGAAGATAATTCTTTCTCAGTGTTTATTCATCAAGAAGATTTTGTTTCGTGTATTTTTGTAAGTACTTCCTGGGCAAGGAATGCATAAGTTTATGCAATTCTATATTATATCCTATAAAGGTTTTTGCTGTATCTAAGAAAAATATTTCTTTGACCCTGGTTTCCATTTTTTGAGCAACATCTGGGATGTTCGATCCTGTGGACGTGCTGTTTGCAAGTGCTTTGAAGAACGCATATGATTCTTAAAATGTAATTTTTTTATGCACATAAATGCATTTTGACATACTTTGCAGAACACTTTTGAGCCATCCGCTGTGAAGTCTCTCTCGGCTAACTTCGCTTCCCTCACCCACTTCAGTAGTAGTTGAGACACAGAACTTTTATGCTTACCCATTAAATTTCACAGTCTATAGCCGAATATATAACCTCGATGCTGAGCACACTTCTGCACTTCACGCTGACACCGATAATTTATTTCAAAAAATTGCAAGAAAATCCAATAAAATGAACATTGCTGATTTTGGTTCAAAAAATGTAAAAAGTTCATTTTCATTGGTTAGGAAAATCCGTGGAACTGGTTATAATAAATCGAGCTAAAATAGGTCTAGATATTTCAGCGGTTCTTTCTCTCTCTGCAGAGTTCACAATGGTTCGCGAGTCGATAAATACTTGGAGTAGAGGATGTCCACAAGGTGATGATAAGTTTTGTTGAGACAAAGGAGTCCGTTATCGTTCTGGATCGGGAAAGTCTGGGTCAATATCGTCGGAAAGATTCGTCCTCATTGGCACCGTTGGTCGAAGGTGAAATCCGATCGAGTAAAATTTGGCACAGGCACAGAAAAGTTTTTGAAGACTTTAATCCAAGAGGAACGGACGACGACTGACTCTTCGGCCGTCAATTACGATATCAGCACGATATAGCCCGGCTAAGAGGTCAGTAGATAACGGGAATGAGTCATTTTCGTACTACAGTCTTTCGAGTATTAAAAGAGATAGTTAACCTAGGCTAAAAAGTTGGCGAAGTCGCGAAGTGATGTGCTCTGTGATTATTTTGTGATTTTTGCGGTAATTCAGGTCGGAGGATATTATATTTAGTGTTTACGTATATCGGAAGGCAAGAGGATTGACATAACGTCAAGTAGGACTTTTAAATCCCACCCCTTTTTAAATTATTTGCTTAAAACCGTAATTTTCGGTTATCCGGATTTTGAATTTTTGATTTACCGGATTTTGTTATCGGATTCTATCCGTGACCTCTATAGAACTCTGGTTACCAAAATTTGGGGTTCTAGACCCATTATTTACTGACCTTTTAATGTTACTTCCGGTCGGCGGTGGAACACGAGTTTTAGGCTTCCAGTTGGACCTATCAAAATAATTTTTGGGTATTTCTTTAAGGACCATTTACGTAAATTTTTCGTAAAATTTCGTTAAAATCGGACAGATATAATTTAAACTATGGCGATTCTTATATTGAGTTCTAAAATCAACTTCTCACTGAACGTTGGTTGCCAAGGCAAAGGTCGTTTCCAGTTGATCATACGGTTTTTTCGCTTTTTCTAGACTATTTTTTATTTAATATAGTACTTATTATATATTTTTGGAATCGGGGTGACACAAAGATTCTAAATAATATATTTCGGATAAATATATAGTCTGATTTTGCGCTTTTTATCCGTTTTTCTAGTTGCATTTCATTGCTACCTCATTGGCATTACTATAGTCATGGCTGATAGTCCACCCATCATTGCAGCGCGTACAGCTGCAAATGACGTAATCACTGAATTAAAAGAATATATTGCAGAAAATTCACATAGCAAATTTTCAACTTCCCGTCACGCAGATTTTATCTTTGACTGTATTAATAGAGTAATCAAAATCTATGAAGAGAACAGTGTTTTGTCTATGCTTAAGGAGATTAACAATAAAATTGATACAATAGGCAATAGTAACAATAAAGACGTAATAATTACCCCTTCATACAGTTCAGTACTGCAATCAGGCAAAGCTGTTAATTCAGCTACTGCTAATATTACACTTAAGCCGTCTAAAGACGTTCTACTAATTTATAACAAAGAGGACAATAAAAACAGTGAAAATACACGTAAAATCATACAAGAACGTATAAATCCTATTGCATTAGGCATCGGAGTAGAAAGAATACGTCGCATAGGGGGAGGAGGCGTTGCAATACATTTAAACAATAAAAGTGATCTAACAAAACTTGAGAATTGTGTACA